GGCTCAAAGAACAACAATCCCGACTGAAAGGGATAGATCTGTCCGGCCATCGCGAGCCGGGGGACGGGCTCGTAGACAGAGCTGTTTCCATGTACGAATCTGATAGACTTCAGTACATAGAATGGGTTTCCTGCGTCAGTCGTCAACACGAGCTGCTCACTGGCCAGAAGAAAGATTCTTCAGTCTCCTTCGACAACACAGGAGCCCTCAAGATCAACACCAAGACGGTCTCCCAGCCATGCGATGTTTCGACTGACATGATGGTCAGGTATGCGTTGGTCCGCAGGGGCCTGGCTTTGGAACAGGCTAACATCCTGGCCTACAGCAACCACGACTCCCTCGTCGAGAAATACATGGCAGCCAGACTCCTGGATCCGCCTCCTGGCTATGCAAGGATCGGCCTTAAACAGATCGAGACGGATGACAGGCAATTCTTCGTCTTGATGGCCGAGAAGACCAGGGGCGGCATAATGGTCAAAGGTGGGGCCAGGCCGTGCGATGATCACTTTGCTTCGGTGCTCTCCTCATCCGAGTTCTTGCAATACTTGCGTCACAGACCCCTGGCGGCCGGCGCCAGCAGCGAAGAGCCTCCCGCCAAAGTGCAGCGAACGGGAAAGGGAGAAAAGGGCAAAGGGGGAAAAGGACGCGGTAAGGCGTCCAGCCAGCGTGCCCCTTCGAGCACCAATATGCGTGTCCCTGCCGAGTTGCTGGCAATGGGATGTGTGGCTTGCGCTCCAAAAGGCCACAGGCTTTGCTTTGACTACAGTCTCGGCAAGTGTCAGCTTCCCACTCAGAACCAGCGCTGCGCCAAAGGCCTCCACCTGTGTGCCATCAAGTCATGCCATAAAGTTCACCCTGCTTTCGAGTGCCCGCAGAGAAAGAAAGAGTGACTTGAGGCTTCGTCCGGCGGACCTCTGGTGCGCACAGGGGAGGCGCAGTCTGCTGGCATCTCTCCCTCGAGCATGGCGGACCCGCCAGACAATCCTGTGATAGAGCCTCCATCCAAAGTCGCTAAGACTTCGGATCCGCATGCCCTGGCAAATGCTTTGGCTTCGCAGTTTTGCAGTGAGGCATCCTTTAATGCTGACAATGCACTTAAAATTTTCGCTGCCTGCCCCGATGATAATGTCGTTCCGCTGGCAAGCCGATTCAAGTTCTCCCCGAGTAGTCACCCTCGGGGCCTACAATCACGGAGGCGTGACTGGAATCCGTACAGTCTCCAGGTCCATGCCCGACGTTTGCCAATTCTTCTGCGCCTGCGTACGTCAGGTTGCACCATCGTTCCAGTTCACCACTGTGGTCATAACCCAGGATATGAAAAGCCCCGTGCATCAAGACTGCTTCAACAGCAGCCTACCTAACCTCCTTGTGCCGCTCACGACCTTCACTGGAGGCCATGTCTTCGTGGAACACCCCGAAGGGCAAGACAAGCACCTCCTAGATGGCCAGGAGTTTGTAGGATTTCGGTTAGATTGTGACCAGGCGCCCTGGTCCTTCGACGCCAAACACTGCCGCCACTTCACCTTGGATTGGGAAGGCTCTAGAGTAATGCTTGTTGCATTCACGGTCGGGCACTTGGCAGGGCTTTCTGATGCAGATCAGCAAGAGCTCACAAGTTTGGGATTCAGTCTTCCCCGTGAAGACGTACAGCGTGGTCCAAAGTTCCTTCCTTTTCGCTACACCAACAATGACATCCGTTGTTGCAATGCAGGCGTTGCAACCGATACTGCTCCTCGCATTCCTGTGGTGCCCTCAGCCCCGTACGGGGACCTCCCAGGGGAGGGGCCGCTCTTGATAGAGATCTGTGCCGGCAGTGCCTCCCTCAGTCATGCGGCAGTGCAGCGCGGTTTCTCAGTGATGCCCATTGACCACGCGCACAACCGGCGTCGCCCAAAGTGCAAGATCGTCACTCTAGATCTTAGCAAGAAGCATGCATGGGACATCCTTGAGTTTGTTATCAAGAACCGAAAGGTGGTCTTGGCTTTTGCTGCTCCCCCGTGCGGCGCATGCAGTGCAGCTCGCAACATAAGGCCAGGTCCGCCGATTCTTCGAACCAAGCAGTTTCCCTGGGGAGTCCCGTGGGCCTCGCGTACAGACTGGCTGAAGCTTCAGGCTGCCAATGCCATATACCAGTTCTTGGGGGATTTCATTCAGCTTTGTGACAAGCACAGTGTCGCTTGGTGCTTGGAGAATCCCACCAACAGTGCAATTTGGACGATCCCATGCTTCGCATACGCCTTGGCTCACGGGATCTTCGCGCACTGCCAAGCATGTGCCTTCGGAAGTGGCCGAGACAAACGCACTTCCTTCTTGTGTAGCCACAGTGCTATCGCTCACATCAGTCGCATGTGTCCAGGATGCAGTGTGCGCGAGCCCTGGGGGGTTGACTCCCAGGGCACTTTCAACACAAGCAAAAAAGCAGAATACCCCCCAGGCATGTGTCAAGCACTTTGCGACGTTGCAGAAGCGATTGCAGCCGAGCAACAGTTGCCGCTAGGCGCAGCGCAGCCCGTTCTTGCCAAAGCTCACCGCCAGGCACGCGGACGGCTCCATCCACAGCTTGTGTCCGAATACGCTCACATCCTCAGGCGTACGCTGCCCAGGCTTCCTGCCCTTTCATCCAAGCAGTGCATCACTAATGCCGTCATTGACGTGCCGTCAGGCTCCAAGCTGATACGTTCCGAGAAAAAGGGGGATGGGCTTTGGTTATGCATCTTCGGGGTTTACAGGTCCTTTGATCAATTCGTCCTCGAAGCACAGAGCCTGCTGCATCCCTTTGATACCCTGGCTCAACTCCCCGACTACCTCATCAAAGCCTTATTCGAGCAGCTCACTTTGTCTCCTATGCAGCTTTCCAAGACTCGCCTAAAAAATAGCAAAAATGGAGGGACAGGGCAAGACAGCTCGCGCCGGAAGAAGAGAAGCTGAGGTCCAAAATGCCGGAACACGTGCGGAGGATCCTGAGCTGTAAAAGGACTCTTCTCCTGCAAGAGATGGCAGCCGAGATCGATTGGCCGGACCGCGACTTCTTCACCGAGCTTATGGATGGTTTTAGGTTAGTGGGATGCCTTAAGCCGTCTGGCATCTTTAGACCCGGGGTTACCCCTTCGGCCCTAAGCGAGGATGAGCTGATGTTGCAATCCCCTTCCCTTAAAGCCATGATCCTTGACAGCATATCCCGCGCAAGCCCTGGCGAACATGACGCCGAGCTGTTCGACCTCACCCTCAAGGAAGCATCCAGCAAAGGCTGGCTCCAGGGCCCGTATGCCCCTCACCAGTTGGACTCCATGATGCACACCTGGCTTCCTGTCAGGAGATTCTGTGTGGTTCAGAAAGGAAAGCTGCGCGCAATAGACGACTTTAAGGAAAACCTCCTTAACAACACGTGCTGCGTTGCGGAAAAGATTGTGTTGCAGGCCATTGACCATATCATCTGGTCCTTGAACGTCCTGTGCCACTTCTATCGTTCGAGAGGTGCCTGCGACTTCTCCCTCTCATCGGGACAACGGCTCGTTGGTCTAGTGCACCCCGACTGGGAGAGGGTAGGCGCAGAACTGAAGGTCTCGTCGATTGATCTTAAATCCGCTTACAAGCAGCTTCCCCTTTCCCCGTGTGAGTACGACAAAACGGTGGTATGCCTAAAGGATCCTGCATCGCAGAAAGTGGCATGCTTTATC